CAGGGACTCTGCAGCTGACAGTGGATCGGCTGAACGGGGCCCTGGCCAAGGTGGAGGAGAGTGAGGGGGCCCTGCGGGACAAGGTGCAGGGCCTGACAGAGGCGCTGGCCCAGAACAGCGCCAGCCTCGCCAGCGCCCAAGACAAGAACCTGCACCTGCAGAAGGCCCTGACCGCCTGCGAACATGACCGCCAAGTGCTCCAGGTATGGGGCCTCCAGGCTCTGCTGGAGGTGGACCCGGGGAGAGAGCCAATAAGGGCAGCCTTGGAGGGGCCCCGGTAGAGAGCCAGCCAATGGGCAGTCATATGGGAACTCTAAGGAGCCAATCAGTGAGAGCCAGCTCTGAGGGAGGGGTGGGCCCCATAAGAGAACACGCCCATTAGTACAGGCTTGGAGGGACCCAGGTGCAGGGTTAATGGGAGAGTTGGGGTCTGAGGGGTCCCCACCTGTGCTGGTCAGTGGCCAGGCTGTGGGCCAGGCCTGCTGTCTGGCTCACCCTCTGGGTGAGAGGACCACGTGTCTTATGGGCTGTGAACCTGGCCCAGAGATGCAGAGTAGAGGGGAGCCCTTTGCCTCAGGGCCCCCAGTGGCCTGGCACCATCAGCGCCTGTCCCCCAGGAACGGCTGGAGGCCGCTCGGCAGGCGTTATCCGAGGCGCGGAAGCAGAGCAGCTCCCTGGGCGAGCAGGTGCAGACGATGCGGGGCGAGCTGGCGGACGTGGAGCTGCAGCGGGCGGAGGCCGAGGGTCGGCTGCAGCAGCTACAGGAGGTGAGGGCAAGGGAGGGCCCCTTCCGTCCCCAGGACTCTGAGGCCCTCGGGATGGGGTGGGGACCTTCCCACTTGTCTGAACTTTATCCCAAACCAAAGCCCAGCCTCCCATGAGGAGGAACCCACAAGACCAGAAACGAAGCATGGTTCAGTCAGTCCATATCCCCATTGTACAGATTGAGAAACTGAGGCCCAGAGAGGAGAACTGGCTGGCCTCAGGTGACGGTTCCCTGATGTAGGCCTTATAATCGCCCTGCTGAGTGAGTGGGCACAGCAGGCTGGCATCACCATCCCCAGGCTTCAGATGCACACACTGAGCCCAGAGGGATGAGGGGCCTGCTGGTTTCTGTTACAGGTGCTGCGACAACGGGAAGAGGGAGAGGCCATGGCCCTGCACACGGTCCAGAAACTGCAGGATGAGCGGCGGCTGCTGCAGGAGCGCCTGGGCAGCCTGCAGCGAGCCCTGGCTCAGCTGGAGGCCGAGAAGCGGGAGGCGGAGCGGTCAGCCCTGCGGCTAGAGAAGGACCGAGTGGCCCTCAAAAAGACGTTGGACAAGGTGGGCTGTGCTCCCCTCACTTCCCCTGGGTCCCAGCCATGGTCGGTCCCGGCTACATGTCCCTAGGATCTGCGGGCCTCAGGTCCCACCTGACCCCTGGTCCTGCTGCCTCTAACCTAACACACCCCTCAGCACCCTTTCCCCTCCCCGGGCACCCTGATGCCCTCCCGCTCTCCCCTCCCAGGTGGAGCGGGAGAAGCTTCGCAACCACGAGGACACAGTGCGGCTGAGTGCGGAGAAGGGGCGCCTGGACCGCACCCTCACGGGGGCCGAGCTGCAGCTGGCTGAGGCTCAGAGGCAGATCCAGCTGCTGGAGGTCCAGCCCCTGCCCACCCAGCCCTGGACCCAGCCCCACCTTGAGTGCCAGGCGGTCCCAGGAGTTGCTGATGGCTCAGCCAACCCAGGGCCCTCATCCCCCTCAACCCACGAGCCCAGAGCCGGGTCCCAGAGGGAGAGGCCCTTCCTAAAGTGGCGAGAAAGGAGATGCTGCAGGCTGGTTAGCACGTGGGCTGTGTGTCCATGCATGTTGTGGGCACGTAGAGGTGTGAGTGTGTGTGGGAGTGTTGTGCATGTAGCGTGAATCTTGTGTTCAGATGTGATGAGTCTAAGTGTCAGGAATATGTTATATGTGTGTGTCTTTGTGTACAGACGTCTTCACGTATGTAGGGGTATGTAGGAGTATCAGGCTTTTGCACGTATGCTCGCAAACACAGGTGAGTATGAGATGCTCGCTTCTGTGCCTCTGTATGTGGCTAGAGACCTAGGTTTGAATGTGTCTGTGCGGGTCTGTGCCTGACTGAGTGGGAGTCACTAGGTACCCCGACCCAGGATTCGAAGACCAGGAGGGCCAGGGGCATGGGGGACAAATAAAGATCTCTTCTGCATCCCCGGCCTGCACTGGCTTTGCCCCAAGCGGCCTTCAGACTCCTACCCTTGGGAGGTGCCTGACACCTCCTCCAACACATGCATGCACGTACCGCCCCCCACCCCACACACACACACAGGGCCAGACCCCTGACTAGCGGCCCCTCCTGCAGGCCCAGGTAGTGACACTGGAGCAGGACCAGAGCCCAGCCCAGCTGGAGGCGGATGAGCAGCAACAGCTGGAGCTGCAGCAGGAAGTGGAGCGCCTGCGCAGTGCCCAGGTGCAGACGGAGCGCACGCTGGAGGCGCGGGAGCGGGCCCACCGGCAGAGGGTGCGTGGGCTGGAGGAGCAGGTACTCAGGCCTGGAGGAGGGGGCGAGGGCTGGTCATGATCTCTTGGGTAGAAGCAGTCAGTGGCACCCATAACTGAAGTGGTGCACTGGATCTATGCTGGTATCAGCTGTGGCTGCACATGGGCTCAAGTGATGTCACTGGAACCCTGTCTCTGCCCTCTGTGCTCCTCTGGCACTGTGCCCAGGCAGGCCCTCTCCCTGGGCAGCACAGGTGGCCTCAGCAGCTCCAGCCTCAGTTTATCCTCACAACCGGTGATCCCCGGGGGAGAAGGGGCCTTTTCCCTGAGAGCCACAGCAGAAATCCCAGGGATGATCCTCATTGGCCAGCTTAGATCAGAGGCCCCGTCCTGACCATCCCTGACTCAATCATTGTCTACAGGGCAAGGCTGCTCTGATAGGCCAGGCCTGGGTCACAGGTCCACCCTGGAGTCCGCTAGGGCCAGGCCTATCCAAGTGAGGAGAGTGGGGATGGGGTGACCCTGGAAGCGATGCTGAGCGTCCAGAGGACACCTGACTGCTACATGGAGCAAAATGGGAAGGGAAGGAAATACTCTGGCTCTTAACAAGACCAGTTTCTCTCCTGAAACAGGCAGCAGTGGGTCCCTTCTAGGGTCCCAGCTGTGGTCGCCCCCTTTCTCTGAAGTTGGGCTGGGGGCCTGGGCTGGCCCTACCTCTCTTTCTTCTCCAGGTGTCCACACTGAAGGGGCAGTTGCAGCAAGAGCTTCGAAGGAGCTCAGCATCCTTCTCTCCACCCTCCGGCCCCTCAGAGAAGTGAGCCCCTTCCCAGCTGGCATCCTGGAAAGCAGGCCCCAGGGGACCTCCTCTCCAGCACAGTCCACCAAGAGCCTGGGCCCGGGGGGGACCTCCAGAGGTCGGCTCGGGGTGAGGAGGAACCGGGGCAGCAGTGCCGAGGGGCCAGGACTCCAGCGCCAGGCCAGACCCACCAGGGGCTTCCCCGCATCATCGGAGCCGCCCGCCATCTGTGGGCCCCACCTCGGTCCAGCTGCCCTCCCCCGGGATGAGCCGAAGCCAGGGGTCCGGGAGACCCCTTGTTTCTGGCCAGCCCTGGAGCTGGGGCTCGTGGGAAAGAGGAGGAGTCCCCAGGCCTAGGGCAGGGGTCAGAGACCCAGTCCTCCCCTGGCTTCCCAGAGATCTCTCCGCCTTAGTTCAGAGTCCCTGTATTTTTATACCTTTTTACAATGTTAACTGTTCAGAACTGTTGTGGTTTTTGTAACAAGAAGACGCATTTTCTAAAAACAGTTTGTACAGACGCGTCCCTTTACTATCAGTGCGCCTCTTCCCCCTGGGAGATGGGAGGGAGACAGGAGGGGCCTGGGGCAGAAGGGTGGGTCCCCTAGCGAGGGGTGCACAGGGCGCCTTTAGAGAGGCCTGGGGAACTTACCAGCCTCACCAGCTGTCAGGCTGGGAGGCTGCAGCGTCCTGCGCCACCCACCCTGCTTAACGGATGAGGCAGCCTGCACAGTCACTTCTTTCCAGCCAAAGCTTTCTGGCCCCTCCTTGGGACAGTGACCAGCCTTCCAGGCACTGTCGACAAGGGCAGGCCTGGGAGCGAACGTGGGGTCTTGCCCCAGCTCCGCTGAGCGAGCCTGGACAAAGCTGCTGGGCCTCCCAGAGCCTCGGTTTGCTCATCTGTAAAATGGGGACCTGCCTCACAGGGTCCTTATGACAAGTTCACATGGCAGGTGCTTGATCCGTGTTTCCAAGGAGAAATTCTGCTCACTCCAACGGAGTCAGGTCTGCCCCAGCTCTGCCCTCTCTAGCTGTGGACCCTTGGGTGGGTGACCTGGTGCCTCTGGGCTTAGTTTCCCTGCCTTTAAGATGGGGATAGTGACTGCACCCCCCCCCCACACACACACACATAGGCCTGTTTGGAGGGGTAAACAGGACTGTGCGCTGAGCCCTCACACACAGCCCATCCCCCCACGCTCAGGGGGAAGTGTTATAATGGCTCGCCCTGTTTCTGCCCTCTGAGCTGCACCAGCCCCCACCCCCAAAACAGCCCTTGCTCTCAGATCGCACCTACCCTGACCCCCTGCCTCATTCCTATATGCACCCCTGTGCGTCCACACAGGCTGCCTCCCATCTTGGCTTGCACCCCTCTCATGATGGGGGACTCCTACCCTCACCAAGCAGCCCTGACAACAGGAAAGCCATCTCCCTGAACCTTCTATTTCCCAGGCAACCCCCTGTGAGACACCACCCCCCCCCACACACACACACACCACACACACCCCGGGGCAGCTGCCATGGTCCACCTTTCTGGGCAGGTCAGAGCTGAAGCCGGTGGGGAAGGAGGCAGGGCCGGGACGGCAAAGGCGAGGCCACAGGTCCCCTGAACTGGCCCTTCCTCCCGAGGGGCCAGGCAGCCTGTCAGGACAGGTGGTGTTGGAGGCCCCTGGCCACCCTCTCTGTGCTCTTGACTAAGAAAGTGACTCTGAATCTTTTGTAAAAACTTGTTTTTAATTTTGTATAAAACAAAAGTGGTCTATGCCCGGGGGGCTGTAGGAAATCCAAGCAGACCAGCTGGGGTGAGGGGCATAGCCGACCTCGGGGACAGGGCAGGGACTGTCCTCAGAGGACTGAGAAGGCACGTCAGAGGCCCAGGTCCCACCGAGAGGCCTGGGATGCCCCCCACCCGGGGGCGAAGACTGGGCACTGGGGAGCCCCCATTGTGTCCCAGGGCTGGCCAGAGGCTGGGGGCAGGGCCTGAGACGACCCCCAGGGCCACAGTCCACTAACTTTTTACAGAATAAAAGGAATGTCGGGCTGGGGAGAAAAGCACCAGGTCAGGCAGGGCCGAGGGTCCTGGATCCGAGGGGGGCCCAGGGCTCGGGGTGCCAGCTTCACCCTAGCAGCCCCCACAGCTCCTAGCACAGGAGGCCGCCACAGATTGGCACAGGCCGCTGCTGGCCATCACGCCACATTTGGAGAACTTGTCCCGACACAGGTCAGCTGTTGTAGGGCCAGGAAGGAGCTGGGGTCAGGGTGGGGCTCGGTGATGGGAACTGCTACCCCCTCCCCACCCTGGTGACGGGGACGTTCTGAGGATGAAAAGCAGCTGGGAGGGGAGCTCGGATCCCTTGGGAGTGGCCCTGGCACCGAACACGTGTTCTAATAAATATCGGGGGGGGGGTTGGAGGGATAAGGAGTGGACGGGGGGCAAGGGGGCATGGGGACGGAGGCCTTCCCACCTCGGAGGAGCTCCTCATGGGCACAGACTGTGCGCACACAGATCTCCTTGTTGACGACGTACACCCGGCGGAGGCTGAGGGGACAGCGCCAGGGGAGGTGTCAGCCCCACCCTTGCCCACAAGCCCCACTGGGAGAGCCTGGACAGGGCCTGGCATTGGAGCCCAGAGCCCTGACCCCCAGCCTGGCCATCACCAGAGTTGAGCTCAACTTCAGGATTCACTGTCTTTCCCCAGACTCCCACCTCGGCTGGCTGGAGCCGTTCCCACCCCCGACCCCGGCTCCTGTGCCCCGCCCCCACCCGCCCGGCCCCACCCCCACCCCACCCCCACCCCCGCGCCCACCTGTAGAAGCAGACCTCGTTGAGACACTGTTTGCAAGGCTTGTGTATGGAGTAGAGGCGGGTGCACGGGTACTGCTCCTCGCGGCAGTCTGGTGACAGGTGGGATCAGTCCGGGGGGCTGCAGCTTGGGGCCACCTTGCCCACTGGAGACTGGCTCTCCGTTCCTAGGTAACCCTCTGGCCCAGCCCAGACACACACACATACACACAGTCCCCCCACATGCCCATCACACGCCACACAGCACTGCGGGACCTCCCGGGGCTGCCCGACTTTACACAATATATTTACACATACGAATTCACAACCACACTTAAAAGCATACAGTCAAACACACACAAGTTCAGATACAAATCCACGCACACGCACGCACAAGTCCACACCAACCTCACAGCAGGTCCGCACACCCTCACAGGGGCACACATGGACACACCGAGCTCAGGAGGTGAGCCAGGCTCCCTTCCACACAGTCTGCCTCTCAGGCTCCCGGCTGGGGCAGCACGGGCCCCGCTCAGCTGGCCTGGCTTCCTGTCCCCTCCTCGCCTCGCGTGCCATGAGCACCACCCAGTCCCACTGGCTGGCAGGAAGCCCCCAGCACGCTCCCTGCCCCTCCCCAGCGTCTGGGAGTAGAGGGCCCCTCCCGAGGCTGCAGCCAACTCAGCCTCCAGCCAGGCAGGAGGGCAGGGGAGGCTCCCCGAGCTGCCCAGGGGGCCCGGGAGTGGCCGGCCTAAAGCAGGGGCACGTCTGCAGGCCCCCTACCCCGCCACTTACCCCGGCAAGAGCAAGAGGCCTGGCCTTCTCTGGCCCACCAGCGCTGCACCCCACCCCACCCCACCCCAACTTCCGGGCTGTGCCTCAGTTTCTCCAGCTGTCAGGAAAGCTCTTACCAAGAGGCCCAGGCTCCGTGGGCTCCGTCTCTGCATTTCCTGGTTCTGGAGTTGGAGGAGGGGCGGGCAGAGGTCACTGAGAGGGGACCATTCAGGGCAGGGTGGGGTCACCTCTCCCAGCCCCCATACAGACCCCAGGGCTGACAGGAGCTGGTGGCCTACCTAAGGTGGGGGCTGGGATGACTTCCTGTTGGACTTGCTGCTGAGACTGGAACTGGAACTGCTCCTCGGGGGGCCGAGGAGTCACCTCTGCAACGGACGACAAGGGGTCTGCTGCCGCTCCCCGCCCCCAGCCGCCCACCCATCCTACCCTGCCCCTAGCCCTTTACCTTGATAATCATAGTAGTCCGGGTTGTCTGAAAGCAAAGATGAATGTGGAATGGGTGGGGATGAGGCTAGCCCCCAGCCCCAGGGGCAAAGGAGGTCCCAGCTGAGCCAGGGACCACCCCATGCAATTCCCATCGCTCTGCCCCACCTGGGCCCCGGCTGAGCCATGCACATCAGGGAGCCAGGCCTTGATGGTGTGGCAGGCCTGGGGGAGACCTGGGGGTGGGCTAGGCCCTTACCGATCTGGTCACTGTAGTGGGTGTACTGGACGTGGTCTGGGAACGGAGGCAGCGGGTCCAGGTCGTACTGGCCCTGAGCCAGCAGGCCTGCTATGGGGAGGCAGGGCTTGAGGGAGTGCCCCACAGAGAAGGCCAGCGGGGGCCCCGAGGCACTTCTCAGGAGGGCAGGTAGAGGTCCCAAAGACCCTAAGATGCTACAACCAGACTCTTAGGATCCAAACTCCTTCTTCGACCATAAAGGCCCTTATACTCCCTGGCCCTGTGTCACCTCTCTGACCTTATGTGCTCGTCTTCCTCATGCTGGCCTCCTAGCTATTCCTGGAGCTCAGTAAGCTCCAGCCTGCCCCAGGGCCTTTGCACTTGACCTTCTTTAGGCCTGTGATCCTGGTCAGCTCTCCTCCTTCAGGTCTCAATTGAAATTTCAGCTCTGCTCAGAGGCCCTCGCTGGCCCACCTCCCCTCTCCATCTCATCCTCCTCTGTTTGTTTCTTTTTTTTTTTTTTTTAAAGATTTTTTTTTTTCCTTTTTCTCCCCAAAGCCCCCCAGTACATAGTTGTATATTCTTCGTTGTGGGTCCTTCTAGTTGTGGCATGTGGGACACTGCCTCAGTGTGGTTTGATGAGCAGTGCCATGTCCGCGCCCAGGATTCGAACCAACAAAACACTGGGCCGCCTACAGCGGAGCGCGCGAACTTAACCACTCGGCCACGGGGCCAGCCCCTCTCCTGTTTGTTTCCATCACCCACAGCACTCAACATAATCGGACATTGATCACATCTGCTTGCTAATATTGGCCTCCCTTCCCTGGACTGGCAAGCACTACAGGGCAGGGATTTGTCTGCCTGGTTCATCGCCATGTCCCCAGGGCCTGGCCCAGTGCCTGGCACATAGCTGGAGCTCAAGAAATATCTGTTAAATGAATGAACGTTAGACTTGGCAGGGTTTTGTGATCCCCATTGATGACTGCTCATTTGACCAACAGAGAGACCCCTCCAAGGTCAAGATTGTATAGGATGGTTGGGGCTCAAATGGGTCTAGAACCCAGGCCCCCAGACTCCCTGCCTTGGGTGCCCCTCACTCCTGCACATCAGCTCCCAGGAGGGTCAGTAAGAGGAAAAGCATGGACTCCCGGGGCCTGGGCGTGTGCCCACTCTCCAGAATCCCGCCTGCCTGCTGTTGTGGAGGGCTGGGCTGAGGGTCTCAGACTTTGGGAGGGTGGCCAGTCCAGCCTGTGGTCCAGGAGGCAGGAGGCCCTGGGACCCTGGAAGCTGCGTTCTGGCCACAGGGCACGAGAAAGGCTCCCTGCCAGCTCCCTCCCCCCACAAAGCCCACGCCCACATAAGCAGAGCCCCCCAGCCCCGGGAGCCACTTACCAGGCAGGAATAGCAGGAAGAGGCAGGCAGCTCTCATGGCTACACAGTGAGGCGGGCTGGGCTGGCGTCAGAGGACAGCTGCAGGAAGAGGACAGGGCAAGCTACAGCGGGGCCCGCCGGCCCAGGACTGCAGAGGCCCTCTGCCCCCCGAATTCAGCCTGGGGAAGGAGGCACTCGGGGCAGATGCCAGGCGTGTGGAGGGTGGGGAGTCTGATCGGGAAACTACTTTGAAGAATCATCTGTCTGATGGCCCACGAGGTGTTCAGGTCCCTAGGGACAAGGCCTCCAACCTGACTCTGGGGCTGACCTTGACAAACAGACAGACCCTACCCTGCCCTGCTCACTAAGGAGACATTTCTAATCCCCCACCTGCCCTGACCCTGCTCTCCTCGCCCACACCCAAGCCCACCCTCTGGCTCAGCACCTCCCCAGGTGTCTGATCATGCGAATACCTGACCCCAGGCCCATCCTGAGACCCTGGCCCTGCTCAGCCAACATCACGCCTGGACTCAGCAGTGTCTGCCAAACCCACCACCTGCTCCCAATTAGCCCCTGGGCCCTGAGCATTTTGCTCAGCAGGAAACCACATGCATGCGCGGCCCTAGGGGCCCCTAGGGCAGCCAGGCCTGGGCAGGGCTCCCACCCGCAGAAGATTCCTCTCCTGCCAGGCCGCCAGGCCTCCGGGCCTCCAAGACCTGGCTGTCTTCATCACAGACGCACGAGACTGAGACCTATTTGTCTGCGGCAGCAGGAAGCACTCAGGGTGGGGTCTGAGGAGGCTTTGCTGGATCCTAGAAAGGCAGGGCTGGAGGGGACCATGATGTCACCCAGCCCGGGGGTGCCGAATCCCCTGACATTGCGTGACAAATGTTGTGTGCGTAATTTTGGGGGGAAAGGGCAGTGGCCCATAGCTTTCACCAGGCTCTTGAAGTTCAAGAACTCCTGGTCGAGTCCGGCCTCCAGATTCGGCCACACAGTGGACTTGGCAGAGTCCACGGGTCCCCAAGTCCAGTCCCAGCTCAGTGGAGGGCAGCCTCAAGACTGTCAGCTTTCTGCTGGGAGGCCTGGGAGAGAGTCCACGGGCTCGTCCGTCCAGGATGAGGGCCCCTTCCCCGCCACAGCAAAGGGAGTTTTTCCAGACAGCTAACTGGAAACCGAACTTGGCCATGTCTCTCCCGGGGCATCCAGGGAGAGGGGAAGAGAGGAACAGAAACATGGGCATCTCTCCCTCCTTCCTCTCATTCCGGAGACTTCTGTGACCCCCTGCCCATCTCATACACTCAACATCTCACTCCCTTCCTTAAGCCCTCACCGCAGCTGGGTGAGGAAGCCCAGGTGGGAGGTGGGGGGGTGGGACTCAGAGGCAGGGGACATCTGAATACCCCCGCATACCCATTCTGAAAACCCTTGGCCTCCTCATGGGGGCGGGGGTCGACTTAAAGACTTGGAGCTCCTTCCTTGTGACTCCCTGCAAGGCCTCCTTATCCCCTCCTTGTCCCCCAGGCTGGTGGTAGCCAGGCTAGTTGAATCTGTCGCCACTCAGGAGGAGGCCCTAAGTTGGGGCCTAAGGAGCCTTAAGGGCGCCGGGGGCGGACGGGGGCACTTCCGTCTGCCCCCCCAAGTCTCTCCTAGGCATCCCTCCTAGGCGTCTCAGCCCCCTGCATGGAGTCATTTCCTCTCCCAGAAGATCTGGCATCCAAGCCCAAGCTTATTGGGGGTAGGGGCCCCCAGCGCAAGAGGTGGGGGGCACAGAGGAGAGTCCTGGTGGGAGTAAAGGACCCCTCCCAGGGGACCACATCTCGGAGCACTTCTGGACTGGACTTTCTGGGCGTGGGGGAGGCCAGGACCTGCCTAGGAGGCTGCCCCGGCCCTGGCCCTTTCCACAGCCGCAGACCCCCGCCCCGCTGCCTTCCTGGGGCCTGCTCGGAGCCCCCTGCCCCCACGCGCGCGGCTCTCTGAGACTCTGCCTGCTCAAGAGGCCGGCCTGGGGTCCGGCTGGAGGAAACCAGATGTTGCAGCCGCACAGCTGGGAACAATCAGCTACGGAAACTCGCTCGGCGCGCTCCCTCGCGCTCTCCCAGTCTCTGATGTCTCTTTGTCCCTCCAAGTCTCTGTCCCGGACGCTCCCGCTGGACGCCCCCGCGTCACCCGCCACATTCCAACCTCCCAGGGAGAACAAAAGCCGCCCCCATCCCCGACGCCCCCACCCCTGGCTCCCCCCAAACTCGGGGTCCCCTCCTTTCCCAACTCGCGCCCTCCCCTCAAAGCGACCCCAGACTTTCCAGTGCCCTCTCAGCATCTGCTCGGACGGCCCCGGGGTCAGGGTCCGGGTAGCCGCCCCCAAGATCCGGGACCCCCACCACCTGGGGGCCCCCCGACGCCCCTGCCCACGCCCCGCGCCCCCCGAGCGCCCCCGCCGGGTCCAGCCGCCGGGCCCGCGCCTACCTGCCCGGGTCACTCCGCGCCGCTCCGAGTCCGCCCGCCGCAGCCGCCCCTCTGCCCGCTCCCAGCCCCCCTCCGGGCCCCCGACGGGCCGGCGCCCGCCCTCCAGCCCCGGCGCCGCTGGGTCCTAACGCGAGCGCCGCCGCGCCGCGCCCTCGGGGCTTCACGCTCGTCGGGGGAGGCCCTGCAGGGAGGAGGCGCCCGCCGGCCCGCGGTTCGGGGCGCTCCCTCCTCGTCTCCTCGGCACGCCCGGCGCGCGGTCGGCGAGGTGCGGGGGCGAGGGGGGCGTGCTACCCCGTATTAGAGAGGAGGAAACGAGGCTCAGGACGCGATTCACCCCGGCCGCTCAGCCAGAAGTCAGCCTTGCTCTCCCCTCTGGCTTCTCCCAGCTTCCAGGACCCCGTCCCCGCCCCGGGTTTCCTCCGGCCTCTCCGGCTGTGCCTTCTGGGTCTCCTTAGCCTGCTCTGGGCGGTGGAGGCTGCTTCCATCACCAGCATTTCTTTCGCCCACGGGCTGCAGGCTACTGGGCCTGGCCCCACCGGTGTCCCCAAGGCACATCAGATTCAACAAGGATCCAAATCCAAATTGACGACCTCCCGACCCGCCTCGGGGAGGGCCCCACCATCCTCCCCTGCCCTCAGCCCAGCACCCAGCCACTAATTGTGCCTCGCAGACATCTCTGGGTCTCTCCACTGCACCCCGCCCCCCCCCCCGCCGTGGTGTAAGCCGCCACCATCTCTTGCCTGGACTCCGTAATAATCTCCAATCTGCGCCTTCCCAAGCGGGCCCTGCCCTCCCCCCCACTTCAGCCTGGGGCCCCTTCCACTTCAAACCTTCCACTGGTTTCTTCGAGCACCTAAAATCAAGGCTAATCTCCCAGTGGCCTCCAAGAGCCCTTCCCTTCATCCTTCACCGTGGGCTGGCTCTGCTTCCAGCCACGTGGCCTTTTGGCAGTGTCTTATTAACCCCTTCCACTGCAACAAAGGCCACAGGGCCTTTGCTCAAGCTGTTTCTTCCTCCTGGAACACTGGTGGGGTCCACCTCCTTCAGGTTATAGATCAAACCCTTCCCTCCTCCGAGGAGCCTTTCCTTCCTCCCTGTTATAATCTTAAGCACCTTCTGCTCTGCTGCTCACGGCTGTCATGTTGTCCTGTGCCTGTGACCATTTGGATCCTGCCCCTGTCCCTGACGAGCCCATCAGCCACCTGAAGACAGGTATAAGGTCTGTTTTTGCTTATGCTTGGTTTTGGCTCCTTAGGCACAGTGCCAGGCTCAGAGCAGCTGTTGCGTAAACATTTGGGGAATGAATGAACGTACTCTCGATTCTCCTGGGAGAGACTGGCTGGGTGGCGGTGCAGGTCCCCGGCCTCTGGGGCAGTCCGTAGCCCTCCCTAGTCCCGGGAGTTTGATCCTGAGGCAGGGGGCTCAGGAGCAGGAGATGGGGATGCCTCTCAATTCAGGCCCTTGCCATCAGATCTCCTTGTCCCCAGTCATGCCCCCATGACTGTCCCTTAGACTCTGAATCCTATGAGACAGGGACTGAACGTGTCCCATGCATCATTTGTTCCCCAGTGCTGGCTTACTGAATGAATTACTCTCTGCCAGTGCCCCCTCCAGTATCTGTCGCACTGGGGCGGGGACTTGGGTTCCCGGGAGCACTGCAGGCCTTGTGGGCCAGCCCAGCCCTCTGTGCCCTCTCTTAGCCCCTCGCTGCTGCTAGACACAATCCCAGGAGGGTAGGAGAGGAAACTGCCCGGCGGAAATGCTGTCCCCTACACTTGACAAAGGGAGAAACTGAGGCTCTGACGCTGCCTACTCTAGTTCTGGCTCCCAGCCCCTCCCTGCTGTTTCTATCCACTGCCCCTAAGGACCCAAGCAGAGGGGGCAGCTCTTTGGGGAGGGGGCGGTGGGTGTGGGAGCTCTTCTTCCAATGTCCTTGGAGACTTGCTCCCTCCCTGCCCGCCTCTCGGGCCAGGTGATAAACCGCCCACAGGCAGAGGCCGCGTTTTTGTTCAGTGCTGTCACCTCTGTGCTGGCACATGACTGCTCGATAAACGCATGAACAACAAACAGGCGAAGGGCAGCAGAGTGACGTGAGCCCAGGCCTCTCCCTGTGTCCTCCGGCCCCCCCTGAGCCATTGCTGGTGATGACTCAGCGCCCAGAGCAGGAGGTCTGTGATGTGCCTGACATTACGAGTTACCTTTCCACACCCCACATCCCTTCGCCTGTTGATTCAACATTTAGGGGGCTCCTTCTAGGGCAGGCCTGGGGATGGCACCAGGGTTTCCAGTAATGAGCTTGGTGGGGGTTCTTGGAGGGCAGGAAACAGCCTTTCTTTCCGGGCTCCTCTGCCCAGCACAGATGGGCCAGATGGCCGAGTTGTCTTCAGTGGACCCAGGCCAGTGTCCCAGTGGCCGGGTGAGGTCAGAAGCACCCACCCTTCCCCGGGAGACAGTGCACGTGGTCCTGTCTGGGAGATGTGGGCTCAGGGCCTGGATTATCATCTGAGGGAGGAACTGGACCACAGACATGTCCCAGGATGTGGGGAGTCGGGGGAGGAGGGAAGGGAAGCGCCTCGGTTAAGGGGCTCCCGGGCAGTGGCACTCAGGGCCACTTGCGGAGCCAAGTGCATTCTCTTCCTGCCCCTGCAGGAGGGCAGAAGGTTGAGGGTGTGGCCCCTAAAGTCAAAGTGATCCGGGGGCCCGCCTCTGACTACGTGTGCAGTAGCGTCTAAGCCTCGGTTTCCTTATGCGTAAACTGGGGAGAGTTCTCTGCTGGTGTGGGCATGACTTGACGATGCACATAAAATGCTTCACAGAGCGCCAGGCACATCTCACCCGGAAACATCCTTACCGTCGGATGAGGAAATGGAGGCCGGGGGGAGTTGTGCAGCGTGATCTGAGAAGTCAGGGGGTGCCGGGAGCAGACACATGCCAGGGGCTGCCAGCCAGGCACCCGGGTCCGTGGTGCCAGGTAGGAGACAGGTGCGTTGGAGCCAGGAAAATATCATGACTTTATTAGCTACACTGACAGCAGCGCTGAGGGGGTTGGTGGCTGCTGTCGCTGCGTGGGATGGTCCGAGGTGGGGGACCACACTAGTTAGCATTTCCCCAGGTGGGGGCAGGGAAGGCTGGGCCGGGCAGACGTGGGACAGGAGTGTGACAACCGCCAACCTCGGGGCTGCAGGAGTGACGGCGGTGGTGTCTCTGGAGACGGGTCCCAGTCGGTGGCTCAGAGGCAGGGAGATCCAGCATCCAGCATGCCGGATGGGGCCTGCATTACCTCCCGGGCCCGGGCGGCGGCCACGGCTGCTCAGCCAGCTCCTGCTCCAGCTGCTTGAAGCGCTTCTTAGAGGCCCGTTTGGGCCGGAGCCGCAGCAGGCAGCCCGGGAGGCACTGGTCCAGCACACTCTGCAGAGGACAGGGAGGGTGCGAAGGGACAGCTGTGGCCGAGGCCCACCTCCAGAGCCCCCCTCCAGTCCCGACCTGGGGCGAGCCCCACCTCCAGCATGAAGGCCCCCACGAAGTTGAAGGCGACCAGGGCCAGCAGCAGCAGCTTGAAGCAGGTGTCGGCAATGTTCCTCAGTGCCAGCGGCCCCTGCAGGAGGCCGGGGACCAGGAGGAGGCCCACCAGGATGGAGCTCAAGAGCGCCAGGGCCACCAGGAAGGGCACTGGGGGTGGAGGACTCCGTCAGGCCAGGGAGCCCCTGAACACACACACACGTGCCACACCAGCCCCCAGCCTCCCTCCACCCGCACCAGCCCCACCACGCGGCAGCACCGTTGGTGTAGATCGGCCGGCGGAAGGGCGCCCCCTTGGACACGGCCGCGGCCAGGATGAGGTACTGGAAGCTGGACAGAGAGAAGACCACTGTGTTCTCATAGTTGGGCAGGTTGTCCGGCGCGGGCACTGTCCTGTTCAGTGGCACGAACCTGGGGGCACGGGGATCGGGGGTCAGGGAACGAGCGTGGAGAGGACGGGGCGGGCTGGGATTTGGGGGTGTGCTTCCTCCTCACCAGGGCTGGCCTACGGTCAGGAAGTAGCCCCCCAGCTGCACACTGGCCACCAGGGCCACCTGCAGCAGCAGGCTGCCCAGCACGGGCACGCTGAGAAGTGCCCCCGGCGGCCGCGCCCGCCCCAGCTCCAGCGCTGGCCCCGTACGGCTCATGAGCACCGCCACCGTGGTGGTGATGACCAGGTCGATGGTCAGGAACTGCAGGTCGCCCAGGTTGGTGTTGATCTGCAGGCAGGGGGCGGAGGGCAGAGGGGAACCTGAGACGTGGCTTAGCCCAGCCCCAGCCCCAGGGCAGCCCCTCGTCTGACAGGGGAGGTACCAGTCCTGCCTGTTAGGGTCCGATGGGGAAGGTATCCTTGCCCTCCAAGCTGATGGTGGGGGCAGCAGCCTCCTGCCCCTGGGGAAGCCCCAGTCTGAGGGAAGAGACACTGCACTGCCTTCAGGGAGTCCCTCTCCCACTCTGAGCTGACCCTGGGAGCCCAAAATCTGCTGGGGCAGCTTCCCTGTACCCGCAGGGCACCCCCAGCCTGAAGGGGAGGCATAGGTTCTGCCGTGTGGAGCCCTCAGTTACAGGGGACACACAGCTCCTGCCCTCAGGAAACACCTGGATTCACAGGGACAAGCTCTGCACTGCCCCACAGCGTTGTCTGCGTTCAGCGGGGGCGAGAAGCACATGCTCAGAGCAGGCAGGGGAGACGCCCTCTGAGTAGGATGTGGGAGGCCAGCCAAGGCCCGGGAAGGCAAGTGGGGAAGTGGGTGGACCCGTGGGAGCGGGGCACAGGCCTGGGCTCTATCCCACTCGTGCCTCCACCTCCTTCACTCCCACCCGGGCTCTGCCTCAGTCTCCCCTGCAGACAGGGAGCTCCCGAAGGACAGCTGCTCCCGTTTCTGAGGACCTACTGTGCACCAGGCTCTGTGCTCAGCACGTGGCAGAGCAGGCTTTGAGGCCGCACCAGCTATTCCTGAACCTGCCGGGTCCCTAGCCACACTGCCGGATACCCTTGCCCTGGCCGGGCACGGGGCCTGCTCTCCGCCCCTGCAGACACTCACCGTGTAGAGAAGCAGGACGGAGATGAACTGAGTCAGGCTGTACAGGGCCATGTACTTGAAGACGCTGAAGGACGTGTCGAGCGAACAGCGGCCCTCCCTGGAGAGCAGGCTTGGGGTGTCAGGGGGCCCAGCCTGGCTGACGGGCCCTGCT